GATGAGTAACTGGTAAGGACCATATTCACACCGTACTTAATTTTACGAAACAGCTTTGCAAAGTGGATATTAATATTATCTCTCCCTTCACAGAGCAGAACACAGAGGCCCAGCTATGAGAGAGAGAGCCAGGATTTGAACCCGGTAAGCCTATGTTTATTCTTGAGAAGAAAAGGAAAGAGCATTAACACACACACACACTCATACACAAATACACACACATCCCCCTCACACACACCCCACAGTGCCAAAGAAGATAGGGTAAGGAAGTCTCCCCCACAGCCGGGCCTCCTCGCCAAAGGCAGCCTCCGGAAAGATTTTCCCTGCGCACCCTCCTGGAGAGATCCAGGGCTATAGAAACACACGTATAAAGTGATCTTTTTTATGGGTGCAGAGGACTCCACTACCTGGATGGAGGGGTGCTTTATTGGCGCAGTGGAGGGTCTTTGTGTTGTGTAGTCCTTTGGCGAGTATCGGCAATTCTGCCACGCGTGTCTTCAGTCAACACGCCTTGTGCTCCCGTCTGAGGGTACCTGCAGGATTCGGTCCAAATCGCCGAGTCCATGGGTGTGTGCAGCTTGTCGTGCCGAGCAATGGCATCGGGCGCTGGGCCTGAGGTAGGCGAGCACCGCACCCTCTCACTCTCACCAACAGGCTGAGAGTGACTGTGGGACCTTTGCCGATCCAGTAGGAGTGTGGCCTCTGGGACAGGCTTGATTTTTCCTTTATAATAGCTCATCATTGAAAACAAACACTCCCCCGCCCCCTCCCCACCTCCCCTACTCCAAACATTTGCTATGAGTCGACTTTGACTCCTGGCTGATTGGGGGGGACCTTTTTTCTGAGGTCCCTCTGGGGGTTGGGGTGGTGGAGGACCTTTCAGTTAGAGTCAAGCGAGTGGTGTGGACCATTTGTCTCACTCAGGGACTCATTCACACCCCATGCGATTCACCCACCGAAGACATGTCGTCGAATGACTTTGAGAGCGGTGTACAGCATTGTGCAGACGAGACCGCGGTCCGTTGTAGAACAGTTTCATCATTCAGCCTGCGCCCCCTAGCAGTCCCTGCTCATTTTCCCCGCCTGCCCCCGGAGCCCGAGGCCACCACTCACTCACTTTCTGTTTCTCTGTTTGCCTGTTGTGGACATTCCATCCAAATTGGATCATATACTACGGGCCCTTGGGCATCTGGTTTTATTTTGGCTTTATGTTTTTACAGTTCATCAGGGCTTGGCATTTGTCAGGACTTGATGATGTTTTAATTGCCAGATGGTATTGCATGGCCAGCCCACGTTTTGCGTGTACAGTCTTCAGCAGATTGGCTTGGGGATGTCTACTTGCTGGCTCTCGGGAGTATTGTTGGGAACAGTCA